AAAGTTTTTTGCCTAGCTAGCTGCAGACTACAGATTTTAGAGATGTGACAGTATGTTGGGAAAGTGTGCCAGTCCTGAAGGGCAAGGACGCTGCGGAGGCCAGCTGTTACCCAGGTGGAGAGACCTGGTGACAATATGAAAATTTGGGCCAGCCCTGTCAGGGGGAGTGCTACAAATGGTTAAGAGATGGTTAGCGGAAAGGGTAGACCCAGGTCAGCCTGAGAAGGAGGATTTCACTGTAGCTTAAGGGCCATGCAGCCAACTGGCTCCTTCACCAAGTCAGGTGTTGGGGGCTTCAGAGAAACTTTCTAGGTTTTGCCAGATGGAGAAATCATTAACAGAGCGGAAATAAGTGCACACAATCTCATATTAGGGAGAATAGCACAGCAAATGTTTTTTGACACCAAGATTAATTTCCTCCCGGCTGGAGCTACCCAGCAACCTGGAGGAAACCAGTTTCACTTTAGAATTGTGAAAATCAGCGAATGTGTTAGGTGTTGCCCAGCCTCCAGCTCTGCAATAATCTGCTAGAGAGGCACAATGTAGTAATGCCCAAGAGGAGGTAACACTTCTTGTTGAGTGTGCTTTCACCCATGGCTCACCCTGGCACTCATAAACAAAGGTGATGGCATCCACTACCAAGGTGGGCCAACCTCTGCTTTGATATGCCACTTCTCTGCTGCCAACCATGACAGAAGAAGATCTGTATAATGGCTCGTTTCCACTGACTGGTACAGTACGGTACGGTTCGGGTCGGTACGGGTCACCTTTATCAGGCTTGCGTTTCCACTACCAAGGGTACCCTTTTGGTGGGCGTGATGTATGACAAAGTTTCAGTCGAGGTCGTTCACATATCATATTAAAAGCACTTCTCACAAAACAGATGCTTTACACACATAATTACTTGTGTATAAAAGTTCATTACTAACTTTTCTATAAACAGGAGTTGATTATAACTGCAGATCAATGACGGTGAGAAATAGCCTACTGTAACATCTGTAATTATATTAAATAAATAAATAAATGAACATATATGAACACATACAGACCCTTACAGTCTCCGATATGTTACCAACTACAGAAGAACTACACAAAGCAGACGTTTCGTCGTTAACTAGGTTCAAAACAATACAAAATATAGCCTACAGTCAGTGAAAACCTCTCATCTGTGTCTGTAATCTTCAGCAGCACATGTAGCCTCTGTTAGAGAGTCATTTCATCATTCCCAGTTCATATTAGTCCAAAAGGTGATAATAAAGATTAAAACAAGTCAGTTTGTTCACGTTTGCTGAAGAAATACCGTGCTACTTGGCTTCGCCTTTTTTCCCGTGCCCCACTCTCACGTTTGTCCTTTTCTTTCTGAATGTGTCACTCTTGTTTGTCAGCTTTTCACAGGATCAGGTTTCCAAAGCTTGTCGATAATCAAGTGCATGTTATTATTATCAGCTCAGGAAGTTTGTTATTTTAGATAGAGACGCGCGGCGAGCGCAAGAAAGAAAGCAAAACCACTCGGGCTTCAGACTGGCTCGTTAAAAACTATGCGGCACAGGGTTAATCTGCTCTTCTACATGGTTTTGTGGCTGTTTATCATGATGACGACAGGGTTTGTTTGCAGGATCGACCATGGCTGCATATGTATTTATAATTCTGCTGTAATCTCTCGCTGTGTATTTCAAACATGGCGGGTCCTTTGTTTACATTCTGGCTTGTTGAGTCTACGAATGCCGTATCTCTGTAAACCAATAGCGTTCAGCTGTGCGTTTAGCTCCACCTTTTGGGATTCTTTCTGCAGTTCGGGACCCTTTCGAAAGGGTGCCGAAAAAGTGGTACGGTACGGTTTGGTGCGGTACGCCTTTTGACAGTGGAAACGGCCATAAAAGCGTACCAAACCGTACAGTACCACTCAGTGGAAACAGGCCATAAAGGCTTATTCTCCAAGTAAGGTCCACATGAAAGCGCAGTGCTCGAACAGGATGCAGCAATGAAAGAGCAGGGTGTGCCTCTTCTGTAGGCAATGCTTGCAGGTTCGCTGCCTAGTCTCAAAAGGGTGTGGTAGGAACCCTGGGCACATAGCTGGGGTCTCAGGATAACATGAGATGTAGGCCGGCCTGAATTCCAGACACGATTCACTGACCGAAAAATGCCTCTGTATGCCAACCCTCTTGATCAATCCCAACTTGGCCAGCAGAGCTGTCTTTATGGACAGAAATCTTAAAGATACTGAGTCGAGTGGCTTAAATGGTTCTCACTGCATACCTGCTAGGACTACAGAGAAATCCGGAGAGAGCATGAGAGGGAGCGACTTAATCACCTCATGTATCTGAGAAACCGGATGATGAGGTCATGCTTTTCCAGCGCTGTGGAGCTGGCAGCAATGTAAATCTTCTGTAAGGAGGGTGACAGCCAGCACTGAAGTGGTCTCATATGAACAATCTCTTAATCAATGCGCGTGCCGGGATGGTGCTGTCCTGTCTGATATAGTCAGGAAAATTAAGTTAAACTCTATTTTGAGATAAGAGAAGCTCTGCACGATTTCCTGGTTGACCCAATGTTTCAACAGGTCAAGGTGCCGAAGCATCGAGTCCCTGTGCATAATCAACTGATCTCAAGACTGTGCTAAAATAAGCCAATCATCAAAACAGCTGAGAATCCAGATGCCTGCGAGCCAAAGAGGCAATAGGGCATCTTCCAAAAGTATCTGGATGCAGCCTTTATGATGCAAACTGAGATTGCATCTCTCAGAGATGCAATGTCAGACACAATTCACTCAATGGAGCTAGTGATGTCACTGTGATGGGTAGGGTGGAGTTAGGTGAGCCCATTCAAAAGCATTGCATGCAGCTCAGATTGCATCTGCACCAAGTCTAGTACCAGACCCCACTTACATCTTCCGCAAGCTTTGTGAAACTCAGTGGTGATAGGGACAGCCCAAAGGGTAGGATCTAGTACTGCCATGTCTGGCCCCGAATGCACACCAATGAAACTGTATGTGGAGCGTGAGAAATAAGACATAGAAGTGAGCATCTTTCAAGTCTATAGATGCAACTAATCCTGCAGACAAATGCATCAGAGATGCGTGTCTGCATGAGCATTTCAACTGGCATACTGTGCAGATAACGGTTCAAAAAGCGCAGGTAGAATTGACTATAACCCACCATTCTTTTAGGTACAATAAAGTGCGGCCAGTATAACCCACTCACCATCTCTGCTGGGGTGACCCGGCTAGATTGCATCTATCGCCAGTAGGACAGCAATCTCTTTGCGCAAGACAGGGGTGGTTAATGCCGCACCAAAATACACACTCGTCAACTCAGGAGGCCGTATGGTGAAAAGAATCATACAGCCGAGTCTGACCATCCAGATTATGATAATGTGATAATGCAACAAATTATAATAAAACTATGAAGAAAAATTATGATAATGCAACAAATAAAGAGATTAAGTTTGATCATTTGTTTTAATCAGGTTTGTTAAAAATATTATTTCATGATATTAGTTCATTTCTGCAACCATACGTTTGGCATGAAATATTTATTAAACATCTATAAACAAGTAATGATGCAATCCTAAAAAATCATTTTACATAATGTCTGCAGAAAGGTAATTAACCACATGTTGACAATCATTGTGTACTTACTGAATTTAGATGAATCAATTTATAATCTATTTTTTTACACAATTCTTTTACAAAAAAAAGGAAAGTCACACCTTAGTGGAGCCAACTAAAGGTGTCATATGATAAATATGAACTGACTGATAAAAAAAAATACAATGGAGTTACAAAAACTTTTATTTGTAGATCTTCAGGAAGTAGGAAGAAGACAGTCATGTCAAAAGAGTCATGTCATGTTTTTTATGGTAACACCAGTGACACAACTTAGGACTACTTTGGTGATATATTTCATGATATTTATTTGGTATTTTCTTTTTAAATGTTATTTACATCATGTATTTGATTGTTATGAATACATTTATGTATTCTCAATGCAAAAAAAAAAAATCAATTTTTGACCTCAAAATAAAGCACCGCACCTTCTCTCTGTACATGGCTGTTGGGACGAACAGTTTTGCAAAAGACATTAAAATACATTTATTGCCACATAAATTACTGAAAAAATTGTAATAGTTCAAATAACATATTTTTTATTTTAAAGTATAAAGTTTTTTTTTTTTTCACGTGTAAAATTGTGTATTTTACAAGCATCTGAAATGCAGTGCTGCAAGCTTAAATGACATTGAGTTCCTTTGTTATGTAGGCTATTTACACATGCACATATTTACAATACTCATTTCAGTCATTTAAGCACACGTCTTTACATCAGAATGTTTTAAAATGACAGAAAATCACCCTTGTGAGGAGAAGGGTCTGGCTGCAGAGTGACTGCATATGCACTCTCAGGCCCCGATTACACTAATGCGTTTTAGTTTGAAAACGCCTACATTTTGTTACGGTTACGCCATCTGTCCACACTTCGAGCCGCGAAAACGTAGCGTTTTGGAAACGCTGCTGCTCTGTCTCAGTGTGGATGGGGGAAAATGGAGACATCTCAAAACGGAGTTTTCAGTACCTGATTGGGGCTGCTGAGATTCAGTACCTGATTGGGGCTTTTTTGTCATTGCGTATCTTTCCTAACAATAACCAAATGCAGAGCGAGACACATGCTTCCTGTTTATACTAGAGCGCGCATGCCCAGAGTGCACAAATAGTCATGTGATATATGTTTTTGGTGGCGTAGTGTGGACAGAAATGTGTTCAGAAATGCTAGATGAAACCCTAGAGTGGACGCGGATCGTTTTTGATCTAAAACACCGTTTTAAAACTAAAACGCTACGATTTTTAAAGTTTACACCTACCCCAGCACTAACTACCCCTCACAAAGTGACGTGTCTAAATGGTCAACAGTGTAAGTAATATCTGACTAATTATTTTTAAATTGTTCATTACCTTTTGACTGTTTTCTTTTACTGCACCTGATCATGAAATACATTCACTCTTCTCATTAGTAATCATCACAGATCTTCAGTGGTGTAGAGTTTTCATTCCTATAATACCCCAAGCAAACAAATGGACAGAGTTTCCCATTAAAAGGCTGACCAGTGTAGGAGTAGATATGAAACATGGACTCAACATCATAAAAAGAGACAAAACCCTTCTCATAATCCACAAACACACCGACCCTCTGAGGTTTCACACTCAGGGGAATAAAGACATATGAAGACTCATGAGCCCAATACTTTCCATCTATTAGTCCCACAGTCCAGTATCCATTCTTGGGATTAAGACTGCACAACTCCTTCCTGTCAGCAGATTGTCTGGTCACTCCTAAATCCCACTTAATTTGTCCCTTTACCTCCACCTCAAAGTAAAAACACCCTGAGGAGAATCCCTCCTTTCCCAGAACACCAAGATATTCAGTAAATATGTCGATTTCCCTATCCACTTTTCTAATTTGTATGTTTCCACATTTTATCTGTTTTCCATCTTCAGACACAATGAGATGAGGATGAGCAGAATCAGCATCCAGAGTCACATTCACTGTAGAAAAAGTAAATAATTCTTATTCACAGATTAACAAATGATAATCTATATAAGCTGCATTGCTTAGGTAACGCAAGCACACTATTCAAAAGAAGGATTTAAGTGCCTGTTCCGACTTGTAGACAGACTTGTAAGAGATAAACTTGTAAGAGTGTGTTGTAGGCTTTATTAATTATGGTGAGTGGATCAGTTACGATACGTTTTGATACATTCTGGATTGTCCTGAGATCATTATATCCAGTAGATTATGTGGAGTCTGCGCTACCCGGCAGCTAACTCTCTACAACTATTATAGGGTCGCCCACTGAAGCTAAGCAGGTTTGTTCCTGAATGGGAGACCACATGGGAAAGATATGTTGCTGCCAGAAGTGGTGTTAGTGAGACCAGTAGGGGGCGCTCAATCTGTGGCCTGTGTGGGTCCTAACGCCCCAGTATATTGATGGAAACACTATACTGCTTAGTGAGGGCTGTCTGAAACCGAGGTCATCAAAAATCCCATGATGTCCTTTGAAAAAACTAGGGGTTTAACTCCGGCATCCTGGCCTAATTTCCCCACTGGCCTCTGTCCATCATGACCTCCCAACCATTCCCATATCATTATTAGCTTCAGCACTGACATCACTCATTTGGTCTGCTCTCCACTGGTGTGTGTGGTCTGGCACAATTTGGCTGCCGTCGCATCATCCAGGTGGTTGCTGCACACTGGAGGTGGATGAGGAGATCCCCCCATCATGTCCGTGCAGTATTGGGTCTCTAATGAACGTACAGTATAATTGAAGAGTATAGGATCATATACTGTATAGATTAAAACTCTAAATTGAGTCATAAATGACAATTGTGATCCGTTCCACATTAGAAATACAGTCTAACTTTAAAAGTCACTAAAAATTGGAGTTAGATTAAATTCTGAGCTTTATTTCAAAAAAAAAAAAGAATGCTTTTGAGGAGTCTTTTCAAGCTCTGAAGTCTCTTCATGGACAGCACGCCAAACAACACACTTTAGGGGCTCTATCATACACCCGGCGCAATGTGGCACAAGGCATGCCGCAATACTTGTTTGCTAGTTTCAGCTTGGCGCAAGAGTCGTTTTGAGGCGTTGCGCTATGCTGTTTAAATAGCAAATGCTCTAGCGCTTATATATGTGCGCCCATAGGTGCGCCCATAGGAGTTCTGGTCTAAAAAGGAAGGCGTTCTGAGGCACGTTCTGAGGCGCACTTAGTGTGGTTTATTCATGAACTAATTTCGAGAGGATCACGTGCTTATAATCAACACGGCTGGCTCCTTGTTAGCTCCGTAATCAGCCCTATTAGATGATTACGGAAGCATTATAAATAACCTGAGTTTTCCACTCCAGTTATCTTCGTCTTGAAGCTCGCTTCCCGCTACAAAACGCTCCAGCATCGCACCATTTAACCTATCGATACGGAAGAACACACAACAACAACAACAACAACTCCAGCCAGAGCTCCACTCTCCCTGAGAATTCAGCCGCAGCCTCGCCAAAATCGAGCCTGAATTCCCGCAAAACGCCGGTGCTGCCCACCAGCTCTTTCATCTCCACTTCAAACTGCCTCACGCAAACGCAGTCCACAACTCCACCTAAACTCTAGGCGTCGACGATCCAAAACATCGCAAAAGCCTAACTCACTGCTTCCTAGCGGTGCACCCTCGGTAACGTATAGTACGCTTTTAAGGGGAAGCATCGCGGAAACAACTAATCTCCATCAAAGACTAAACCTATTTACAAATCTTTTAAAAACAAGACTTGCGTGATTAGAAGATTCATAAGAACTCACTCTTCAAGCCCGTCCACAAATCCATAAGTAAATCACTGCAAAGATCATGACATTAATCCACGACATATTGATACGTCGATGGACCGCGCTGTTATCATCCAAACTAGCCGCTGGTGTGCTGCAGTGTCTTCACACAACACTGGTAAACAAACTTGGCCTCCGATTTTGATTGACGCCCCATCGAGCCAATAGCGAAGGAGCAGCGCCCTCATCCAATGCGCTTTTAAAACTCGATATGGTTCCGCCCTCTCAACAATTCATGAATGAACCCAGCCATAAAAGACTCGTGAATGAACTGAGACAGACATGCTTGCAAATTAAGTTAAGATTAAGAATTTTAGAAGTTAAGATTCCTAACATGTATTTAAACAAATTAAGTAAAGCCCATAACAAACATTTCATTCATACAGTTTCCATTAAGTAGTGAATTAAGCGTTTGATGTTGGGATTTGATATAATAAATTGACAAATAATAATAATAATAAATGAATTAATAATAATAATAAATAATAATAAAATAATAAATAAATAAAATAAATAAAAACCTCTGCCAGATCTGATAGCATTTAACTTCTGTAAAGACTACTACCCAACCAGTGAGAATTTAACACAAAAGTCCAATCGTAATACGTCAATGACCCATACTTGCATATACAGTGCCATATGTAACTTATAATGGCACGCCGGCTGGAGGTGAAACTGGTAAAGAAACTAACTTTTCGCTTGACTGCATGAATAGGACATTTAAATAAATCTTCAAGAAGAATTTCTAGGACCACCAGACAAGCTACACCCCATATCCCCAGCTCTGCATCCACCTGCTATCCTGTGGGGGAACAAATGCCCACCTCGATCATCCTCGCAGACTGCGACAACGAAGCTCACAATTGTCCATGCTCTTATTAAGATGCCTTGCATTAGATATCAGCTAAAACAATTTTGTCATGTTTGCTATACATGTATCATGTTGTAAATTAAATTTCTGATTTTTTTTCTTGTTTCTCATTCCAGACATTAGGACAGCCGGCCCAGAAGCTGACCTTCATCCAACCTATTACACTCCACATCCATTCCAAATGCAATCACAATCTACACAAGGATGCATTTCCAATCATACAGCCCACATCCATAATGCCATATTCACACTAGTCTTCGGGTTTTGAGATTCTCTGAATTACCATCAGTTGCAATCCCACAATCCACCTCACCATATCTGATCTGACTGGAGGAACACTATCTCTCTCCATTAAGCAAGCAAACCGATTACTTCGGCAAAGCATGTCCTATATACATTTTCGACATCCCTTACCCCACTCACACAATTCAAATGTTTTAAGTGTAAGCACAACTTAAACTATCCCATACACCCATACATTTTCACTCACCACAGTTCCAACTTATTTAGGGGTTGCCTAAATTTTTCTATTACTGCAGCAGGGATGCTCTAAGCAAGCTCTATACACTTACAAGTCCAATAACACTCGTCACACTGCCCTGCACTAATACAGCAGTAAATGCTTCTGCAGGAGCACACATTGTCTCCATACTGATCCTCTGCAGCAGCAGAATCGCTCCACTGTGCCATCCTCACCCATTGCACCTGTAGCTAAGCCCTTATTCACTTCCTCTCTACATATCACTACTAACAGTATTTAATATTCTTGCGAGAGCATTCAAAACTCTCCAATACCGATCACTACTGCACCTATCCAATAGCAGTAGCGCTCCGCTGAGCTACACTCACCATAGCATCACAACAACCGCAGTGACACTCTACCTGAGCCCCTACTTACTTTCATCTCCACACATCACTTCTGATATTTAATATTTTTGTGGGAGCACCTATAATGCTCCAATACTGACTACCACCGTACCTGCAATAGCAGAGATGCTCAGCCAAGCCTTATTCTCCCATTGCACCACTGTCACAGTGCAGCTCCTTTCCTTCCCACTCCCCAACACTGCACAGCAGTTATACATTTTCGGGAAAGCGTACCCGCCTCCCGAAATTGACTTCCACCACACCTCTGCAACAGCAGAGAAGCTGCAGAGCTTCTTTTCCCCCCCGCTTCACTGTCGCAGCAGTGACGCTCTGCCTGAGCTCACATACACTTCCATTCAACATACCACTATCGACACTTCACAACAGTTTAAACGCCTCCATAAAAGCGTTTACTCGTTATTATCGTCTAGCTCAATTACACGTAACAGCCTCAGCGTGATGCATGTATACATTTGGAGAGGATATCAATTCATCCTCACAGCTCGCACTCACGACATCCACTATCTTGAATACAAGGACAGAAATTTAATTCTGCCTGTTCCCCAACCCCCCCCCCTCCTCTTTCAGCGCTCCCAGTTCAGCAAATAATCTCCCCCTATCTCTCTCCCAAGAGTGCCTGAACCCTGACCCCAACAGGAGCACAACTTTTTTCCCCAAGGCTACCAGTATAAAATCTTTTCAGTCTTCACTTCCTTCCTGCGTCGAGTTTCTCCGCACCTCCTTCTTCTCCTTTCTAGCGTTGAGTTCCTCCGCACCTCCTTTCCTTCCTTCAAGCGTGGAATGCTTCCGCTCTTTCCTCCATCCCCTCCCACTCTCCCCCACCACCTCAACATCTTTTACTCCCTACCCCTTTCCAGCGTCGAGTTTCTCCGCTACTTTTCTCTTTTCAGCGTCGAGTTGCTCCGCTACTATCTCTTCCTTCTAGTGTTGTTCTTCCGCTACTCTCATCTCTTCAGCCTAAGTATCACCATTCAAGGCCTGACTCCCCCGGAGTCAATCAATTACCCCAAACCCCCCAACCCCCCCTGCCCCCCCACCCCCCCCCCCCCCCCCCCCACAATCGACAACTTTCTTGTTTTCTAGCGTTGAGTTCCTCCGCATCTCCTATTCTATGTTCTAAAGCGTTGAGTTCCTCCGCACCTCCTTTCCTTCCTTCAAGCGTCGAATGCTTCCGCTCTTTCCACCATCCCCTCCCACTCTCCCCCCACCGCCTCAACATCTTTTACTCCCTACCCCCTTTCCAGCGTCGAGTTTCTCCGCTACTTTTCTCTTTTCAGCGTCGAGTTGCTCCGCTACTATCTCTTCCTTCTAGTGTTGTTCTTCCGCTACTCTCATCTCTTCAGCCTAAGTATCACCATTCAAGGCCTGACTACCCCGGAGTCAATCAATTACCCCAAACCCCCCCTCCACAATCGACAACTTTCTTGTTTTCTGGCGTTGAGTTCCTCCGCATCTCCTATTCTATGTTCTAAAGCGTTGAGTTCCTCCGCACCTCCTTTCCTTCCTTCAAGCGTCGAATGCTTCCGCTCTTTCCTCCATCCCCTCCCACTTTCCCCCCACCTCCTCAATATCTTTTACTCCCTACCCCCTTTCCAGCGTCGAGTTTCTCCGCTTCTTTTCTTTTTCAGCGTCGAGTTGCTCCGCTACTATCACTTCCTTCTAGCGTTGAGTATTCCGCTACTCTTACCTTTCCAGTCTAAGCTTAGACTCTCCCGGAGTCCTGCCCAGCCCACCTCCTATAGGAGTCTCCACCACCCCCTCCCCATTTAGACTCCTGTAGGAGCCTAATCTTTCAGCTCTAACTCCCACGGAGTTACCCCCAGAGCTAAGACTCCCACGGAGTCCCCCCTCCCCTCTCTCTCTCGCCCCGGCCAAATACGCATCTTTCCTACCTTCTAGCGTTGAGTTTCTCCGCATCTCCTGTCCTATATTCCCTAGCGTTGAGTTCCTCCGCATCTCTTTCTCTTCCTTCCAGCGTCGAATGCTTCCGCTCTTTCCTCTCCCCCCTCTTACAACTTCTCTCCTCTCCCCACCCTTAACTCCCAATCCCCCTTTCAGCGTTGAGTTTCTCCGCTACTTTCTTTCTTCAGCGTTGAGTTTCTCCGCTACTTTACTATTTTCAGCATTGAGTTCCTCCGCTACTCTTTCTATATTTCAAAAACATCACTCACCAATCTGACTCCCAAGGAGTCTTCCCTCGTTCTGACTCCCCCGGAGTCCTGCTCAGCCCACCACCTACAGGAGTCTCCACCTCTCCCTCCCTTCCCAGACTCCTGTAGTAGTCCAATCCTACAGCTCTAACTCCCACGGAGTTGACCCAGAGCTCTGATCCCCATAGGTTTCTTTTCTTTACCTTTCCAGCGTCGAGTTCCTCCGCATCTCATGCTCTCTTCTTCCCAGCGTTGAGTTCCTCCGCATCCTCTTTACTTCCTTCCAGCGTCGAATGCTTCCGCTCTTCTCTCCACCCCCTCTATAACCCCTCTCCCCTACCCACTACATTCCACTTTCCCAGCGTTGAGTTCCTCCGCTACTTTTCTTCTTTCAGCGTTGAGTTACTCCGCTACTTTCCTATTTCTAGCACCAAATCCCTCTGCTACTCTCCTTTCTTCCGTTAGGCTCCCCAACCCTGCCTCCCCGAACCCAACTCCAACAGAGTCCCCAGCCTCTCCTAAGAATCAGTTTCAACTTTTCTCCTGCAGTAACCTATCTCACTTCAATTTACATTCAGCAGCCGGATATGGCACTGACCTCTCGCCTTTTGGGGGGCACTTCAATACGCGGCTGCTGTCCCGAGATGAAAACCTTTGCCTTTTGGGGAGTTCTCGAGACCTACCTGACCTCGAATTCCCCTCTCGCCCTTCTAACGGGAGGGAGCCCCGGGCTCGAGGATATTACGAGCTCAGGGCTCTCTCCCGGGACAGCATGCCAAATACGCTTTATTGATTATCAGCTAAGTGTGAACTCTTGAAGTGTGGTTTATTCATAAACTAATTTCGAGAGGATCACGTGCTTATAATCAACACGGCTGGCTCCTTGTTAGCTCCGTAATCAGCCCTATTAGATGATTACGGAAGCATTATAAATAACCTGAGTTTTCCACTCCAGTTATCTTCGTCTTGAAGCTCCCCCCTTCCACCCCTACATCCTCCCACTTTTTCTGATCGGGCGACACGGTGGCCCAGTGGCTAGCACTGTTGCCTCACAGCAAGAACACCGCTAGTCCAACCCATCGGGCTGGTTGGTGTTTCTGTGTGGAGTTTGCATGTTCTCCCCGTGTTCGCGTGGGTTTTCCCCGGGTTCCCCGGTTTCCTCCCACCGTCCAAAAACATAAACCATAGCAATCGACTAAAACAAATTATCACCCAATACAACCTGAGTTTACACTTCTCACGGTGACCAGCAGGGGAGTTCTCGAGACCTACCTGACCTCGAATTCCCCTCTCGCCCTTCTAACGGGAGGGAGCCCCGGGCTCGAGGATATTACGAGCTCAGGGCTCTCTCCCGGGACAGCATGCCAAATACGCTTTATTGATTATCAGCTAAGTGTGAACTCTTGAATAGGAAATTTTGAGAAACTAAAATAGATTTTTCATTATACCAAAACAAACCCGGTCTAAACTCCGGCGCAGAGTTGCGCCTCGCTTTCACACTGCTTAATACGCACAAGAGAGCAATAGGCAAATATCTTTACATATAAAAAAAATGTAAATATTAAGGATATATATAGGATATAATAAGAATAGATATAGAATATAAATATAAAGGATTAAAATATTACAAAACATATTATTTTCTAGCCTACATAAATATGAAAAACCACTGCTTTTATGTCTTCTTCATCTCGGGAGGCTTTTTCAGTTCATTCATAACAATTTGCTTTTGTATAATGTTATTATTATTAGCAGTGTTATTTATTATTTCAAATTTATATTTGTTTTATTAAAAACAAGCTTAGATTTGTCCACCTGTCAGGTTTTAGACCATATGGGGCACAGCATGTGTTTTAGGATATAACTCAGGTTTTTGAGCACATTTTGCTGTTATTATTATTCATTTATTCGTTTGCTGGAAATTAGAACTGAATTTAGAAATAGTTTTGAAACGAATACTTGCGCTTAACAAACACAATTATTTATTTATAGACTAATTGATGTCTGTGCGTAAAGGTTTCCCTATCCAAGAGCGAAAGTGAAAGTAGTTCCATTATCTCTCATTCTCACGCAGTAGATGCTCTGTTTAACAGTTTTCTGTTAAAAATCTGTTAACTGTTTGCTAATGAAATGCTCATTTTTTCCACTTAGACTTACTTTATGTCCTGTAAATAGCGAATGCGCTCTTGGCGTGACGCAGCTGGCTCTTAAAGGGAATGGGAGATGAGACTCTAATTGGTTTATTCTCAAAACACACCTATAACTCATTAAGAAAATAACCTCAACCCTTTTAGACCTTGCGCCATGGCACAAAGCGGATTTTCCCATCCTTAAATTAGCAAAAACGCGTCCTGACACGCCCTGAAAGCGTTTGCACCCTGCGTTTTGCGCTCTGCGCATGGACCATCAAAATAGAGCCCTAATTTCTTATATTATGTGGTTGCAAACTCGTGAACTGTGGAATAGCTTGCCTTTAGAGATTAGAAGGACCCCATCTCTTTAAACATGTTTTTACTTTTTTATCAGACTTTTATCTTTTTTAATAAAATTTTTTTTTTATACAAATAAAAATATATTTATTAAAACCTACTTTGCTGTAAAGCACTTGTTATATGTGCTCTGTATAAATAAAGTGACCTTTAACCTTCTTACCACAAAACATTTTCACAGAAATCATGGAGATCTTACAACATAATGAACAAAATATTGTCATTGTCCAATGATAATTTTATGAAAATTATATATATATATATATATATATATATATATATATATATATATATATATATATATATATATATATATATATATATTAGTTCTCTGTGACTGACTGATTGAAATCTTCCAACCAATCACTGTTCATTTTCTTGTCTTTCTACTTTTAAATATTTATACATTTAAATGTGTACCTTTAATCTATCTATGAATTAATTTGAATAATTAGAACATGATTACATGTATTACACATAAACAAACAAGAAAAATAATTAAAATGGGACATTAAAATTATTCTAACATATAACATTATTTGCTTACCTCTGTGTTGTCTTAAATGTGTAATAGCTAAAACCAAAAAGTATGATGTTATAAGCATTCATTACAAAATCTCAATTAAGATCAATAATGAAATTGATAATAAAGGCAAACAAAATCCAATAAATTTCTATACAATTTACAATGCAATAATGAATTATTTTTAAAAAATCTATTCATATATGATAGATTACTCTTGAAAGGTTTGGGAAAACAAAAAGGAATTTTAATAAAGTGCAATAAACAAATTTACCTTTTGGTATAGTCAACCTTTGACCTTTGAAAAGTTGATCAAGTTCTAAGGAAATGTAGGGGGGATAAGACAAGAAAAAAAAATACAATGTAATTATATAATTTTAACTCAACAATCTTTAAAAATAATTTATATAAGTGTATAATAGCGCACTAAATAAATATTCACTACATCAACAATTGCCGACCTGTTCCAGGATTGAATATATAGACACAATTTTAAAATACTGTCATATTCTGAACTATTGTTTTTGTTTTTCTCCACAAGATGGCGCCATTTTTCCAAGTGTTTCTGTTTGGGTTCAGTTGTGTTCAGCTGTATCTTGTTATGCTGCATTTTTACCTTCCCAGCACGCTTACGTCATCGATGGTGCGATTTGTTCAGTTAAGAAGAGAATCACTCCTGCTCAGCACACTAGAGATTGCTTTGGTTATATTGTTTTGTATTATCACAGTCAAAATCTTTTGCTGAACAGAATAATCACTTTGGACGCTCATAAATTTTCATGAAAGTCTTTGTGATGCACGTATTAGGAAGTTTGCTGAAGGTGTTGCTGTCGTGCAGTGAGCGCTTTGTGACTTAAATAAATGACAATTTGAATTCATTGAAAAGTAAGAATGAGAAATTAATACATATGAAATAGACCCTTAAAAGTGATGTCATGTCTTCAGTTTTGCGTTCAGGCCCGATTTGCACTCACACTACAAGCGTACCGTGCCATAGCCAAATCGAATCGCGCTCTGGACCACCTCTTCCAACTGGGCCAGGGCTGCCCATCTCATGCCCGAGAATGGTTCAGAGCTCTCACACTTGTCAAACGAACCAGGAAATGGGGTTAACTCTAAGACTACCCTATTTATTGTACTTTTGTTGCTTGTTGGTTTTTGAGTTTGATCTGCTCTTGTCCTTGCCCTAAGTTTTTTGCCTAGATACTCTAGTTATTACCTTTTTTTTTGTTTTGTTTGTATTTTGGCTAAAGACCTTTTCCATTATAGAGGACTTCATGTTTGTCATTTGTTTTGCTTTAGTCCAGGGGTGCTCAAGCTTGGTCCTGGAGGGACAGTGTACTGCAAATTTTAGCTTCAACCACAATTAAACACATAGACCAGCTAATCAATCTCTATAAAGGAAAATGTCCAGGAAGGTGTGTTGAACAAATGGGAACTACACTCTGCAGAACACGACCCACCAGGACAAAGTTTGGTCACCCCGCTCTAGTCACTCTTAAGGTCTCTTGTGGTATTTTTTTATGATATTGATGGACTTCTTTTTTTTGTACTAGACTCTGTGCCTTGGCATTTTGGGCTCATCACCCCTTCCTGTGGGTACACGGAAAACATTGGTCTATCACACCACAGACCTGGGTTCGAGCCTCTGGCTCATCACATACACACACCGGCCACTTTATTAGGTACACTTTACTAGTACCGGGTTGGACCCACTTTTGCTTTCAGAACTGCCTTAATCCTTCGTGGTATAGATTCAACCAGGTGCTGGAAATATTCTTCAGAGATTTTGCTCCATATTGACATGATAGCATCACACAGTTGCTGCAGATTTGTCAGCTGCACATTCATGATGCGAACCTCCTGTTACACCCCATCCCAAAAGTGCTCTATTGAATTGAGATCTGGAGACTGTGGAGGCCATTTAAGGTACAGTGAACTCAGTAGCTATGTTTCCATCCAAAAAAATACAAATAAACTTTGTGCGTTTACAAAGAGAACAAAATCATCTTCCTGATAAACTGGCACCAAATATCAAAATTAAAACATAATTTGCTGTGGTAGAAGAATCTAAGTCAGTTTTTTCTTTATTAAATAAAAGTTTATACTACTCAGATATGCGCAACATTTTTTATGTGCATTTTCAAAATTATTGACATTTCCATCAACAGATTTTTTTTATCTTTTCGCATATCCAAAATGCACATAAAAATAGCTGGATGGAAAGGTAGTCATTGTCATGTTCAAGAAACAAGTCTGAGATAATTTGTGCTTTAAGACATGGCAAATTATCCTGTTGGAAGTAGCCATCAGAAGATGGGTACACTGTGGTCATGAAGGGATGGACATGGTCATCAACAATACTCAGGTAGACTGTGGCGTTGACACAATGCTCCATTGGGCCAAACCCTGACCCTACTATTCAACTGTTGCATCAGAAATTGAGACTTGTCAGACCAGGCAACGTTTTTCCAATCTTCTATTGTCCAATTTTGGTGAGCCTGTGTGAATTGTAACTTCAGTTTCCTGTCCTAAGCTGACAGGAGTGGCACCCGGTGTGGTCTTCTGCTGCAGTAGTCCATCTGCCTCAATGCTCTTCTGCATACCTTGGTTGTAACGAGTGGTTATTTGAGTTACCGTTGCCTTTCTATCAGCTGGAACTAGTCTGGCCATTATCCTCTGACCTCTGGCATCAACAAGGCATTTGCACACACAGAACTGCCACTCACTGGATATTTTCTCTTTATCAGACCATTCTCTATAAACCCTAGAGATGGAAATCCCAGTAGATCAGCAGTTTCTAAAATACTCAGACCAGCCAATCTGGCACCAACAACCATGCCACAATCAAAGTCACTTAAATCATCTTTCTTCCCCATTCTGATGCTCTGTTTGAACTGCAGCAGATCATGTTGACCGTGTCTACACGCCTCAATACATTCAGTTGCTTCCATGTGATCGACTGATTAGAAACTTGCGTTAACGAGCAGTTGGACAGGTGTACCTAATAAAGTGGCCGGTGAGTGTAGCTCAACAAGTATATACTATATTTTTATGGTTAAAAACAGACTTTGCATGAATAATAAATGAATATCCTAATAAAATCTAATTCACCAAGTTGTATTCTGCTCTTCTCATCCTGTAGTTGTTTGTGTTCTGAGCAAAATGAAAAGACAAGGGAAAACAGAATTTAGACAACAAATACAATAAGTTCAAATATAATTATTTCAGACTGAGACGATGACAACAAATTGTAAGACCTAAGATATTATAAAATTATAATGTATGTCTGTAAAACATTAACACTGAATTAAATGTATAGAGTCAGATTTACCCTTATGAATACTCCTATTGTCCTCCAGTAGCTGAATGTGTGCTGTACAAAATTAAAAATGATGAGAAGTGAAAACAAAATTCAGACACAAGTTGGATTAAATAGAAATATAACTCTGATTTAAAAACAATAACTGCACATTTTAAGACCTAAGATATATATAAAATTATATAAATGTATTATGTCTATTAGTTAAAACTTAGGACGGCGCGATGGCTTAGTGGTTAGCACTGTTGCCTCACAGCAAGAAGGTCGCTGGTTTGAATCCCAGCTTGGCCAATTGGCATTTCTGTGTGGAGTTTGCATGTTCTCCCTATGAGTAAACTAAATTGGCAGTTCATTTTGCTGGGGCTACCCCTGATACATAAGGAACTAAGCCTAAGGAAAATGAATGAATGAATAGTTAAGGCTTATGTTAACTGTTATTAATTGCTCACCCTAAATCCCCTTACTTCTTGGTTGGGATTCAGAACACAAATTAAGATATTTTAATGAACTCTGAGAGCTCTCTAATTGAAAATTATTAATTTAATTAAAATAACTAACACAAAATATCAGGGTGTCAGGGGATTAAATATATGAGGATGAGTAATTATTCATTCATTCATTCATTCATTTTATTTTCGGCTTATTCCCTTTTTAATCTGGGGTTGCCACAGCGGAATGAACCGCCAACTTATCCAGCACATGTTTTACGCAGCAGATGCCCTTCCAGCCGCAACCCATCACTGGGAAACATCCACATTCCACACACGTATACTACGGTCAATTTTTAGCATACCCAATTCACCTATACCATGTCTTTGGACTTAAAAAAAAAACGGAAAACCAAAGGAAACCCATGTGAACAATATGCAAATTCCACACAGAAATACCTACTGACCCAGCCGAGGGCCCTACTTGACCTACTTGCTATGAGGTAGCCGTGCAACCCACTGCACAACTTCATCGCCCGGATGAATAATCAATAACAGAAATTTTATTCAGAAATGTCAGGCACTTAAAGTTAGTTAGTGGATTAAAATAAACATACACTAATAATGAATTATTTAATAAAGCACATTTACCACGTTGCAGTTTATCAATGCTGGCCTGTAGTTCACTGTGCTCTGAAAAAATCAAAATACAAATGAGAGAAAACAGAAATCAGAAACATTAAATGCAAGTATAATTTCTAAGAAAACAACAACTAAAAATTATTGGATATTATTGGAAAAAAAATTTATTAAGGTATAAATAAAAGTATGTGTTGAAGTTAAATAGTTTATATAGCACACTTAGCATTAATGTTCAAACAAATGAATAAAGACTTCACCCTCATGTATAATCTTATTGTCCTCCAGTAACTGATTGTGTTCTGGAGAAAATAGTTTGGTGGATGCAAACAAAAGTAATAATGCATTATTTAATATAGACAGATTTACCTTCACTTAGTTTCTCGTTGCTTATATGTAGTTTATGGTAATCTGAAGAACAATGAAAATGAAGACAAGATAAGACTGAATTCAGACAACCGAAGCATTACACCATATAATATTTTTGATTGAGGAACTATAACGGTAAATAAAAAAGACATAAGCAATGATACACAAAAATATGAACACACTGTGTCTATTAATAAAATATTTTGTGGATAAAAACACTTTGAATGACTTAATAAAACAGATTTACCTAGTTCTAATGTTCTCATGGCTTTCTTTAGTTTACTGTGAGCTGTAGAAAAATCAGAATGAAGGTGATGAAGCAGCATTAAATGTATTAAACACACACACACACACACACCCACACACACACACATATATATATATATATATATATATATATATATATATATATATATATGTGTGTGTGTGTGTGTGTGTGTGTGTGTGTGTGTGTGTGTGTGTGTGTGTGTGTGTGTGTGTGTGTGTGTGTGTGTGTGTGTGTGTGTGTGTGTGTGTGTGTGTGTGTGTAAAAAAGCAATTTCCTGACATAAACAAACATAACCAGGTCACAACAATCATGTTTTACTCATGAGCTGGTTTATAAATGTGTATTAAGAGACTCTGGATAATAATTTTCACACTGTATTTTACACTGTATGTAACATTTTTAATTTACATAGCCTCAGAGAATCCCAAAACATCCACATATTGATAAATATCAAAGTAATCAAAAAATCAGTTTACATGCTTTTATCAGAATATTGTTCTAATTGTATTCAGATTAGAGTATTGGTGTTCATGTAAACTGATTGTTTGGTCATCTGTGATTTGGTGGAAATCCTTTATACAGTCATCAATTGAATTATTAGTCCCCTTTTAAATTTATTTAAAAATAAGAGCAAGGAAATTTTCACAGTATGTCTGATAATATTTTTCTTCTGGAGAAAGTCTTACTTGTTTTATTTCCGCTAGCATAAAAGCTAACACCATTATAAGTTCAAAATTATTCGCCCCTTTAGGCTATATTTTTTTTCCGATAGTCTACAGAACAAACCATCATTATACAATAACTTGCCTAATTACCCTAACCTGCCTGGTTAACCTAATTAACCTAGTTAATCCTTTAAATGTCACTTTAAGCTGTATAGAAGTGTCTTGAAAAATATCTAGTAAAATATTATTTACTGTCATCATGGCAAAGACAAAATAAATCAGTTATTAGAAATGAGTTATTAAAACTATTATGTTAAGAAATGTGTTTAAAAAATCTTCTCTCCGTTAAACAGAAATTGGGGGGAAAAATAAACAGGGTGGCTAATAATTCAGGGGAGCTAATAATTCTGACTTCAACTGTGAGTCAGTTAAAAAACTTTCCACAGGACACCTTCTTTACATAAAAAAGTGACAGTAAGTTTACCGCTATTTTTCTGAACAGTCACAGTTATCAGTATTCCAGCAATCACACTGAGCACAGAAAAAACTGATATCACAATCACTGATGTCCTCCACGAAGCAAACATATTACCTGCAAAACAAAATAATGTGAAAGCTAAATGTTACAAGTTAATGAAATACACATAATGATGTACCTGTGTTCCAAATGTCACAAACAGTTCAATGGTAATAAAAGAATCTGTAATACATCTTACGCTGCTATTGTTTTACAGTAGGCAATTAACAGCTAATCATCTTTACTGCATGCAAAATAATATAAGAACCTGACAAATGGACACAGTTACTCACTTGTAGAGCTGATCAGTGTCTCCAGCATGTGGTGTCTCACTTTGACTCTGCAGTGAATCTTGCCGTCTCTCTGATGAACAGTGACGGTGTGTTTCACACTGAATCCGTCTGTGTTTCTGTGCATCTCTGTAGATTCTGGACTCAATCTGACTCCTTCACTGTCCAGCCACTCAAGATCAGGTTCAGGATGCCAACCTTCAGATTCACACAGTAGATGAAGCCCTCCTGAACGATCAAATCCATCTACTGTGATCATTGGAGGACTTCCTACAGCTACAGAACAACAGAGGGAATGAGAATTAAACAATATTATAAAAACAGCAATATATATACTGTTTAAACAAAAACAACAGATTTTCTCACCTTCAACTTTGACATTAACAGTGGTATCATCAGACCAGGTTTTTGACTGCATAAAACACTTATAGCGTCCTTCATCAGACACTTTCACTGCTGATAGTCTGAGTGATGCGTTTCCTGTCTGTAGTTGTTGATGATTGAGTTCAGTTCTCCCTCTGTAGGACTGAATCTGCTCTGTGTTTCTGTCTTCATGATCCTCATAGAGATGAACTGAATATTTCTGATCAAGTCTAAACCACTCGACTCTCATGTCCACAACACTGATGTTGGGTTTGACTGAACAGGGCAGAAGCACATCTTCACCAGCAACAGCAAACACAGGACCTGCAGATCCCAACACTTCATACCGCTCTGCTAAAAGAGAAGGAAAATTTGTTTTTCACATGTATATAGCTTCAAACAAACAGCACGGAGCAGCAGCCTTTATGAATTCAAAATAGTAATGTTCATTATGTTTATTAACACACTGTAATACGCTTATTTCAAGTGGCTGCCATTTTAAAGAACCAAAGTGAGGCTGCGGTGGGAAGTAACCCAGAAGTATAGAACCAGCACTGTAAACATTGTTAACATCTGCTGTTGCTGAGATTTCAAAATGCAAAAATAGTGTAAAAATCACTTGAATATCATTCACTAAGTTTAATTTAAACAATTAAAAGCAATTTAGCATCAAACAACATTACAATCTCTGTAAGAGTAATATGCTCAAGTGTCCTCCTAGGCTTCAGTTCATGGCACCAGTTCAACACTGTGGGGATGCTTTCCTGCTTCAGTCTTTATGCAACCCATTGAGTAATAAAACACTGCAGTCCTCTGTAGCCCACAATCGTGTTGTCTGTAATAGTGTTGTCCCGGTAATGAAGTTTTAAAAACGTCTATTTCCTGCTAACATTTAAGTGCCGCTAAGCGTGTTCATAAACAGTGCTGATTTACCAAAGTATTCACCAATGCTCATCAGTTTACCGCTCTTCACCCAGTGCAAACACAGATACATGGACACTGGAGCGCGAAGCAGCCATAAAGATCAGCCGAGTTATCAAGCAGATCGCTTGTCTGTGTTTTTACTCGGTAAACAGCGGAGGGTGAACTGATGACCTTCTCGGCCAATCACAAGCATTTCTGTTGAGCATGTGAACACAACGGCAAATCAGCGCTGTTTTAAGAAAGCCATTAACAGTGCCTTAAATGTTAGCGGCAAATTGACGGTTTTCTTTTTAATTCCGCTTCGTGACAAGTCCAATATAGTGAAAAAAATCCGTTCATTAACCCGAGTTTGATAAATGACATGTAAAACGTGTGTTTGGGAAAGAAAACATTAGCTAACTAGTGCCATTTGCCTTAACTTATCTGAAAATGAGCTCTGATATACCTTTTTATATTCACCATGTATTCAGAACAGTCCTTCGGTTCACTCGGAAGGCGGTGAAATTATAAATTTGTGTGACTTTCTCTTCGCTGATAAGAAATACAGCCAGGTACACAACGTTCCTACTGTATGTAACTCACAACGATACTTCTGGGTTTCTTCCCACCGCAGCCTCGATTTCGCTTTTAAAAATGGTAGCCGTGTGAAATCAGTCTATAGGGGTCTAAAATTTATGGTGTACTTATGCCTAAATTAATAGTTAGCTTGGCATGGATTAAAATGAATGAAATAATGGACAAATCAGGAATTAAAGATGGGCTAACGTCCTGGTTACGTGTGTAACCCACATTCCCAAAGGAAGGAAATGAGACGTGTGGCTAAAGCCCTGCTCACATTGTGAGATTTCAGCCACGATTTTGTCATCTGAGACAAATTTGGGAAATCCTAAAAGATTACTGATATCCTAGGCTAAAATCGGTGATCTTTGATCGTGGATTTGACATGTTCACAGACAGACGCTTAGTGCCCGTTGCAATCAGATTTTCTCTCCGATGAAGCTCTGGCAGTGTCAGAAGATTTCAGACACTTTCCTGCAGTGTGACAACAGCTGAGATGAGCGTCAATCGAAAAACTAATTGGAGCTCCAAATTTGATGATGCAATCCAAGCGACAATTTGAATGACCGAAGGGAAATGTCAAAGCAGTTTTTTCTTCCCGGCTTTATTTTTGAGACACGCTGTGTGCAAAATTGCCGCTAGATTGTGTACGTTTGCTGTGAAGAATCATTTCAGAACACGGAATATGAAAGTGTCACGCGTGGATGACGTCATACTCCGGGGGCATTTTCTTTCATGTTTGGCGTGTCTTCATTGTCGTTTAGTCTGACTTTATGACAGTTAAGATCTTACAGTGTGACATGAGAGTCAATTCCGTGCAGTGTGACATTCTACAATTATTCAGGATTATAAAACAAAGTGTGAGCCAGCCTTTAGGACACTAAAGGAGGGGAGATCACTAGATTACTAATCACTATAAAAAGAGTAAGGAAACGAGCCCAATGAATGCCTATGAGTTGGCAGAGCACAGCTCCTGCAGGTGCTACCAATTAGTTCTGAGAGAATATATCCAGCATCTGAGGAGAGCACATCAGAATTTTTAAACGCTCAAGCCAAACACTCAGTGGCGTAGCGCAAAATGCGGAGGCCCCCCTGCAGGGATCACTGACGGGGCCCTCTGATTATGGGGGGCTGGGGGGCAACAACACGGGGAAGCGGTCACAAATTGAGGAGCGGGGTTGAGCGACAACGTGGGGAAGCCTTTACAAACTGAGGAGTGATCACAAACTAAGGAGCGGGACAGGGGCTGGGTGGAGCGACAATGCGAGGAAGCCTTCACAAACTGAGGAGCGATCGCAAACCGAAAGCGGCGAGAGCGTCAAAGTAGCAGAAGTCATTCATTTTCAATGAGAACCGGCGGCGAGATACAGCGCGGCGCGTCTTCTCTGGTGTGAGCATCGAGGATTGTTGAAATCAAGTCAACTTTATGGTATGAGCTATGACGTGGTTCGGCGACAAGCAATCAGAATGAAGTAGTCCACCGCTTGAGAGGACTTCAGAGAACACAGACCTGTGAACTTTGGTTCCGACCACAGTTGTTCCCAAGAGTTTGATTATTGCGGTTGCCGGATTTTCAATTATTGAAAATCGCAACAATGCGGGGCCCCCTAATCACGCGGGGGCCCCCCCGCGGTGCGTGCCCTGTGGGCCCGTCCGCTACGCCACTGCAAACACTCAGCTATTAGCTGAAGACCCAGCTGCTATGGTGATGGACACACGTCTCAGTTCACTCTATCAATTAACGTGAGTTACGAACATAACCAGGATGTTGCTCTTCAGATAGGGAACTCCAACATGTGTTTAAGGACACTTTGAAAAAGTGTATGAAAAATGCCACAGCAGAGGCGCATCCTCTGGTGCGTCCATCCTCAGTGTTGGTTTGCAGCAGTACACCTGAAGGATGAATATCTTCATGTCTCCATTCTTCCGTGCCACCTGAATAACATCGTGTGCAGATAATGTTTCAGAATGTGCAGATCTAGGATGGGTCATAACCCACTGCTCTTTTTGTGCATGATGAAGTACAGGCTGTCTTCAACTTGGCTAGAGGCACTGGCTCATTTGCATCCTTCGCCAGGAGGACACCAATCTCCTCGCGAAAGACAGGGGTGAACGTGAGCTTGACCATCGTGAAAGGAGGCCATTTGGTGAACTGAACCACATAGCTGAGTATAATTGTGTGAATGAGCCACCACAATGAGCTTGGCAGGTCTAGTCAGGTTGGCAAAGCCCGCATGAGCGGCACCATTAGTGCAATCGCTAACATGCCTGCTGCCTGCAGAGGGCTCGGCGCTGCTGCTTACCCAGTGAAACAGGCTGTGGAGGTAGAGCAGGTCTTGGACGCCATCTCCAAGGACCCAACAAAGTGGATGGGCCCATCGGAGGAGCAGTTTTCCAAGCTCAAGACCTGTCCTATAGAACTTGACTGCTCTTTCACCTCCGAGATCTCCTGGGTAAAGTCCCCATGGTCTTGCCAAACAGGCTGGCCTAGGATATGGGTGCTTTAAGAAGGCAAGCCCTCCTCACCTGTGTAAACTCACTGTGCATCTCTAGAAACAATCTGATGGGGGCTTACAAGGTTTGTACCTCTTGTTTACCACCAGATAGCATCGATCTAGTCAGACTGTTGGCAGAACAGGGGGACAAGCCATCTCTAGCCCTACTGCTGAAGCAGCCCAGGATAACACGGTCATCATGTCTGATTGCAGATCCAATACCTCGCTTATGATTACGGAGAGGGAAAGTGGGCCTGTAGTGTCATCTAGCCTGAGCGCGGCCATCCAGGATGATGAACCATCACAAGCTTGGACAGAGCCCACTGTGGAGGAGTGAGGGGTCCTCAGGCCAGAATGCAACAGATTAGACCCCAATGTAACCCCCAGGCATGCCCAAGTGCTCACCAACTTGGGGGGAACAGCAGGGGTAGCGCACCCGTTTTGCAAGGGTGAGCCATAACCTCAGTTGCACAACGGACATGCCCTCGCAGTGAGGGCATGAGCTGTCTGCGAGCACTGCATCCACATGCTAGACCCCCAAACGTGATGCTGTACCCATGTCCATCATCTGGGGAGAGGAAACCACCCCACTCAAAATTGCATTGTTAGAATGACATCTTTAAAAAAAACACTGTTGCTGTCTAAAGGAAATCTGCTTTTTATTGAAACTACTCTTTTAGACACCCGTAAGTCGTAACTATGGTTAGCTCTTTAACTCCTGATTTGTCCATTCTTTCATTCACTATTATTTCATGCCAAAGTGACTATTAATCCAGGCATTAGTATTCCATGAATCATGAACTCTTTATTATAAAGTGTTACCACATTACCTGATCTTGAGCCTGTAATTCCACTAATAAGCAGGAGGGCTAAACAAATCAGCTTCATCTCTTATAAACTCTGAGACAAAAAAAAGAATGAAAAATATATTACAGTGTTTGTTAAAAGGCATGTTTTTGCTTTTGAAAACTACACTTAACACTGATGCAAGATACATATTTTCCAAAACTGGTTTAACCGGGTCGAGACAAAACAGCATACAAGTACACAATGTGTCATACATGTAGTTTATATTTACAAAATATTTTAAAACACATATATTTTTAAACCACACTGATTGCAAACTTTAAATAAATATGTTTGTCTGCTCATCCATGACTTACCTTTAGTTTAGCATGTTTTCTCAAGAGTGTCTCGAGATGACAGTCTACACGATCATCAGGAAATATTTCTGGCTTAGTTTTACTTTCTCATGTAACTGAACACCTTGAGAGATGACCGTCCCTCCCTTCAATCCAGCTGATAAACCTACAGTAACTCAACTACTACTATCACACACATTTTTACAGAATAATGTTGCGCACCATAATCTGATCGGATATAAAATTTGTTACAAAAAATATATACAAACACAACTGACACAACACACACCCATCCTTAGAGAATTGTGACTCCAAATTAAACCAGAAATACATTTTAAAATTTGTATTTAAATTAATTCTCAAATAAAAAACAAATCCTCATAGACTTACATTACATGATGTAAATGACATTTTTTCAGAAAAACAAGAAGCTGCAGAAAGAGCTCAATTTGATATTGTATATATTTTTAAACTTTAGAGAACAAAAGCAAACTTACTCTCATCGTAAAGTTTATTTATAAACTAATTTTGAGAGGAGCACGTGATTATGATTGAACACAGCTGGTTTTGCATTAACTAACACATGATAAACCAATCAGATTATTCCTAACTATGAATAGCCAGGGTTTCTTACTAGTTATCTTCGCCTTGAAGAACGCTTCAGCTCCAAAACAAACAAACAAACAACCAACCAACCAACCAACCAACCAACCAACCAACCAACCAACCAACAAACAACCCGATAACACATTGAGGTAAAGTTGGCATATTTGCACATTCATTCATTTTTGGAACAGTGACAATTTGTGACACGGTCCTTATATTGTCTACCATGAATAATCATTGTGAAAACAGATGCAAGTATGACTTCAAAACAATCAGCACCATTTAACTGACAGTGAACAATGTTATTTGATAGTACATTGGCTGCTAATATGATTTAGATTTTCTCTTTCAGAGATTCGTGAGCTTTTCCAGATTATATTCAGTCTGTTCATCACATTATCATTTGACTTCAGAGGACCGCATGAGTTATACGCTACTTGTTTAATCCAGTAAAAGTAGAAAACATCTCAATTTAATCATAAATACAGATGTATAAATCTCAGATGTGAGAGAGATTTGACATCTCTAACAAATACAGACACATTAAGGCATATTCTGGGAGCAAATCCTGCAGTCTGATATTAACAGCAGCAAAGCATGTACTAGCCTGTCAGAAACACAGAGAGTCAGCCAGTGGACAAAACTAGTCAAACATTATTACAAACCATCTGAATGAATGTTGTGTTATTATTATTATTATCATTATTATTTAGTTATTCTCTTTCATTATGTTTTTAATAATCTATTTAGAATTTAAAGTTGGTTTTACATTTGCACATTTCTCCTTAATATCATTTCAGAATGGTATGCTCCGCAAATTCTAAATAGGTATCATATTAGCAGCTAATGTACTATCTAATAACATTGTTCACTGTCAGTTAAATGGTGCTGATTGTTTTGAAGTCATACTTGTATCTGTTTTCACAATGATTATTCATGGTAGACAATATAAGGACCGTCTCACAAGTTGTCACTGTTCCAAAAATGAATGAATGTGCAAATATGCCAACTTTACCTCAATGTGTTGCTATTGCTGGGTAACAGTTATTGTAGCTGTGTCCAGATATGTGATTAATGATTGCGATACATGTTTGTTACATGCTGTTTATTTGTTATAGTACTGTGTATGTTTATTGTAAGGGCTGTCTTTGAGGTTTAAAAGGTTTGTGATGAATGCTGTATTTTAAATGTTTTATTCTTGAATATTGATGGCAAGGGTGTGTTTTTTCTGAGGAGTTTTAGGAGTTGGTTTATGTCACTGTTTTGAGTTACTATATAAGGACTGTGGAGATCTGCATATTTGCACATTGTCTAAAAGTGGGGTATGACCCAAATTACCTTGAAAGTATTGCACATTTGCACCCGATATGAAAACCTAGTTTTGATTATTCCGCTAACCTGCTACCAAAGTGGTTTTTGTGGTTAATTGTTTGATATCCCTTTTTGTGTACCTAATAAATGTAATTTAAGTGAAAGTCCTTTTTCTTTATTTTCTTTCTAACGAATTAGGGGTAACATTATGCCTATTTTACATTCTAGGAGAAACCATGTTGAGTAAGTCTACCAAAAGGTCTAGTAATGTTCTTAATCAACATTTTTAAAGAAACTTTATTTACTTGATCAAATGGGAAGAAACTGTATAAAATGTCTGAATAGAGAATCATCTGGGTTTGCTCTGACTCCTGTGAACCCAAGATACTGCCGTGTACTTTGTTACTCTGGAATAAAACTCATTTTTTTTCTTCAAGACGTTGTGGAGAGGTAAGCATGATCGAACACCCAAGGTTCGGAGAGCATGCTAGGAGCGCGGCGGCTAATCAGCAGGTCAATCAGAAATGATTAAAAACACCTGTCTTTCTAGTGATTGGGCCGGAGAGACTCCCTTCTTAAGGAGAACGGGAGGAGCAGTCGGGAGAGAGGAGAGAGCGCGCACACACACACAGCTTCACGTGTGGTGGCTATAATTTGAAAATAAAAAGATTTACTTACCTGACTCGCTGACCCTGTCTTCTTCTTCCCACAACAGTATTTTTTATTATTTACAGTATTGTTTGTTGTGGAAAAATTGAGAGTTCCTTTTCTCTTATCTTCTAAATTGTTTTAAAGAATGTACAATGAAAAAGCTCTATTTAAAAATACTCCCATGCTTAAGATTTAGTGCAATAATAATACTTTTATTTTGAGAATTTATAAATATCTAAAAAAAAAAAACATTTAAAGAAAATTAAATAAAGCATATTTTTGAGCAGATACTTTGTGTTGTCAAATCTTCACTTAGTATCTGTAATTTTAGTTGAGTTAAAATTTTTTGAGCACTTTTTGTCTCCCGTTCTTTATGGTATTTACATTTTAGTGAAGTTATGAAAAAGCACAAATGGTAAAGTTATAGGGCCCTATCATACACCCAGCGCAGTGTGGCGCAGTAGTCTTTTGGTAGTTTCAGCTTGACGCAAGAGTTGTTTTGAGGCGTTGCGCTACGCTGTTTAAATAGCAAATGCATTAGCGCTCATTTTTGCGCCCATAGGCGTTCTGGTCTAAAAAGGAAGGCGTTCTGAGGCGGACCGCTGGCGCGTTGCTCATTTTAGAAACTATAATAGATTTTTTATTAGACCAAAACTAACCCGGTCTAAACTCCAGCGCAGAGTTGCGCCTCGCTTACGCACTGCTTAATACGCACAAGAGAGCAATAGGCAAATATCTTTACATATAAAAAAAATAATATTAAGGATATATATAGGAATAAGAATAGATATAGGATATAAATATAAAGAATTAAAATATTACAAAACACATTATTTTCTAGCCTACATAAATATGAAAAACCACTGCTTTTATGTCTTCATCTCGGGAGGCTTTTTCAGTTCATTCATAACAATTTGCTTTTG